TTCAATTTTAATAAAAGATCCAGCGCATTCAGCTGAAGGTAACTGCCATCTCTCATGATGACATCCTACTTATTCTTCATATACCTGTGTAGTAATCATAGAAATTCGCTTATCAGAGTACAGTGCCTTTGTCCTCTAACCAGAAGTCTGAACAAGGACCAGGCTTGGGATCAGGAGCTACTCAGGTCAAAAACTCCATTTACGGAATGCCTCTAAATATATGCCTCCCTGTACAGTATATCTCCATCAAAGACCTTCCAAAGCTGCCTCCCCGCCTAACATTAGGGATGTTAAATATCAGTTAACTGAATAGTTGATTAACCTCATGAATTCTTATCGGTTACTTGACTATTCTATAGTCCCCGATGGCAGAGCCGGCAGCCAGTACGCTCCAGACCCGCTCCGAAGAAGCTTGGTGCTGCCTCTGTATCAAAGGCAGCCGCATGGGGTGCCAGGTGGAGCTGGTCCATGAGAGGAGCCAGTTTAAAAACCAGCTCCCCTTGCAGACCGGCTGCCTGTCAACCCATGCTGCTGCTTCTGATACCCAGCTGCCTCTACCCTCCTGGCTCTAATACAGTTTAAATGCAGAGCCGCAATGGGGGTAGGTCCCGGACCTGGCGCAAGCCAGGTTGTAAAAAAATTTACTGGCTGGGGGGGGAGAGGGAATGTGTGTGATCTAGAGCATTATCCTATAAGCTTTTGCTTATCAATTAATGAACTACACTATTACATCCCTATTTTTAATAAGGTCACTTGATTTTGGGACTTTTTGATGTCTTGCTATAGGTTCTTCCTTTTTGATTTGCAGGCAATTTTTTCAGTGAGCCACTGGCCCAGTCTTATCCAGCTATGTAAATCTTTTTATTGTGACCTCCATGTGAGAGCCGCAAGTGACAGGATGCTAGTGAAGCTATTGGACATAACAGACGCAACTGCAAAACTGATCTGAAATTGCTACAATGTCCAATATATTCATCATCAAAACTTATGTTCTTACTGCTGGATTTTCAAACCACACCTTATGACAAAACGACAGCACAACATGCAGAATGACTATAAGGATATTATTAATTACTTAATTGTTAATCACTTAATGGATAAATTCATGTCAATCATTTCAACATGCAACCATTCTTCATACTGCAAAACAGTATTCCTTTATTATACAGCAGCTCACCAGGCTTCTGATGCAATTATATAAATGGCAAGAGTAAATTATCACTGTAGTAACCGATAGAAACATTTTTTGCACCTGAAAGTGTTGGCAAGGTAGCCAAGTTCAGTCAGAACACTGCGTATAGTTCACATTCTGCAGTCTGATTAGCAGAGAATTAGTTTCTGCTTTTACATCTTCTTTTTCTTTCCATGATAAATACAGTTTTCTCCCTAGATTGATAGTTCTATGATTTACATGCAACAATGACGTCATTAATATATTGTGGATATGCCAAACAAAACTATTATTCAAATTAACTTCCATCTATTTTTATAAGTAATCTTAGACAAACTTTTATTTTTATTTCTTATAAATTCTTTTTTTTGGGGGGGAGAATGGGTTATTTTGGGTTATTTTTCTCTTTCCTGATTTTCACCTACATAGTATCTCTTCTTCAGTTAAAAGTGGGAGGGTGTCTACATTAGAGTAGCCTCACTGTACCAATACTACAGAAAGTGAACTAGCTAGAGAGAGAGAGAGTTCAAAAAATTGAGACAGTATCTCTGGATGCTGAATTTGTGTCTTATCTGATAAAGTGGCCTATGTTACAAGCACAGCACAGATTTTTCCTTCTTACCAGTCTCTATCATAACTGTTGAGGAGGGGTAAAAAGAAAGGATGGATTTCCACTAACAAAACAATAACCTACATTTGCATTTAGAACAAAAATCCCTAGCACTCCAAAGCAAAAAAGAATTTCAAATTTCCTTTGAGGATTAAATATCTCTTTCCAGCTGTCTAGAACAAGATGGGCAGAAGCAGAATGTTGGTATGCATCTGCACTGCTGCTTTATGACTTTGATTAGGGTACCAAACAACTTACTGGCCTTGACTATCCATATATAAAGCTTCAGTGATGTTTCTCAAAATAACCAAGAAATATAAAGCAGCCTTCAGAAGGATTAATTGGGGGAAAGAGACAATGATCAGTGAAAGGATCCAAAAATAAATACTTCTCACTCAACTGTTGTCAGTTGAATTCTGACTCAAGAGTCAATAGCAAGAGGCTCCAGAGAACAATATGGAATTTCATTAAGTCAGAATTTCCAGAGAATCAGAGAAGGTAAACTTCAATTTACTGACATTGACTTGCATTACAAACTTGAGGCCAAGTTCTATTGCACCCAGTGAAGTAGTATACAAATAACTCAATGCAGAATCTAGCCTCATGATGATATATTTAAAAAAAAGCCTTTACATTATTTTTACTGTCCAGAGGTCCAGTCAAACTAATGGGATGCATACTCATTTCAATGAGCAAATCTTGGAAAAAACAGTTATTTCAATTATTCCAGTATTTCACTGCGGAGATTAATATTTGAAATACTTTCAACATGCATTTCTTTCCCTGTCAGAACACAAACATGTTAAAATGAGACTACTGTATTGAAATACACTCAATTTTTTTAAATGAATGCATAAGTAGTCCAACTTAACAACTGCATTGTCATGATCCATGCTTTTCTATAATATTAAAGTTCACTTTTCAAGATAGTTTACTGACAGTAAGAATCTCAAGCCCATAATCAATAAATTAAAATACTGCACAACAAGTCACATGATAATGGCTGAACTTGAAAACATGAAAAGCCATGTTTTAAAACCTACCCTCATAACTTGTTTCAACAGCAAAATGTACCTGTATTACCAGAAGAGCTGCTTCTTCGGACAATTTAAAAAAAAATCATATGCATCAGACACATAAATGTCACATCGCTGTCAGTTTAAGATGCCTAGTGACAAAAACAAACACCTAATGTTTGTTTGAAATGCATTTTAAAAACAGAGTTTAATACTTCTGTCAACACCAAAAGGTTTAAATTGACTTCAATTACTGAGAATTCTCAGCTCTAATGATGTTAAGCAATTCACCTCACCATTATGCTAATACCCTTAGCTTCTGAGGGTCAGCACAGGTCTCTGATATAACCAAGTTAAATATTCTCAAATCTTATACACAAGAAATTAAATGAAGTGATTTATTTATATACAGCTTGTGAATTTAAGAAAGGTGAAATAAAACCTAGCTTTTTATTGCTAAAAAGACAATTGCTGGAAGATTAGCACCACAGTTATCATATTATTTGTGGATGGTTTATCTATTCCAATTAAAAATGGTGTGAGTTGAAAATAAAGAGCAGGTTGCTATCACATAGAAAGATCAGTAATCAGATTTAAAAAAAACACACACAACAAATGGTCTGGTAGCACTTTATAGACTAACAAAATAAGTAGATGGTATCATGAGCTTTTGTGGGCACAGCCCACTTCTTCAGATGACTGGAGTTATGAGTTGGGAATATGAAAACTCGAAATAAATAGGAGAGGGGAAGAGGAGGGGGGAGAGGAAGAAAAAGGGCGGAGGAGTGGGAGACAAAGCATCATTAAGTATCTGGAGAATGGGTACTTAAACCTAAACAGATAAAAATCAAAGTCAATAGATTGGTATCCTTCCTGTCTTGGGAATCTATCAGAGAGCTGTTAGCACCTTCAGTGGTTATTAAGTAGGTAGTGTCCCAACCAACCCATATCACAATTGAGTCCATTAGCATGTGAACTGAATTTGCTGATGAACTGTGATTCCATTTTTTAAAATGCTTAGAAGCTAGTTGATTTACCAACCTTCATTATCTTTGAATAGTACACAGACAGAGACTTTAGATCATGCATAACAGTGTGACGTGGGAACTTTTTGTATTTCAATTCTCTGTGCCAAATTCTTCCCGAAGGTTCACCACAATGTTTATTGGGAATATCATTAAATAATGGAATTTGGATTAAGCATATCTTGGTTCTATTCTGGGCTTTTGTCTCTCACATCTTTTGTGATGCTGAATAAGCCACTTCACCTTTACGTGACTCCGTTTCTCTATATGAACAAATGTACTATGCAAATCCATACAATTCTGTTTAAAAGCAATTGTATGTCTTTTGTTTGTTCTTTGTTAGAAGAGAATTTTGTTTGAAAACAAGGGTGCTCTTTTAAAAAAAAGACAAATCCATCTGTTTCTTTCCTTTGCTCCCAAAGTCACAACCTTGCTCATGGTAGCGCAATAATTTCTATAGCTAGAGCTCTGAGTAGATACAAATATCTACCTGTGGATATGGTTATCTGCGGATAAAAATGTGTATCTGCGAAACTGCAAATTTACTCTCAAGAGACGCTGGAACAAGAGAAAGGAATGTGGTACCACCACCCAAGAAACCAGGGCTCTACACCCACCATGTGACTGTATCACCCCAGCTCATTTCCTGTCTGGGATCATGGAGTCCCACTGGCAGTAGGGCCAGGAGGAACTATTGGCACAGAGCACTGGCTCCTGGGAGCAGTGGCAGCACAGTCCCCTCCTTTGGCCACAGCGTCACCTGGGAGTAGAGCCCTGCGGATTGGCAAATACCAATTTCTGTCTGTAGATATCTGCATCCAGAGGTAGAAATTTGTACCCGTGCAGGGTTCTATCTATAGTTGCCACTCATAATGTTACAATCTTGATTCTAAATGTATCAAAACTGACATAAGCAATGTTAAAAACACCTTGTTATATGCTGTTTACAAAATAACATTATGGTGGAAATAAAACCATGCTCTGAAATATATTGCTATTATAAAGCTCACTTCACATGTTCAATCAAACAAGCACATATTAACTGGGTGGTATTTCAAACCGCTACAATAAACATCAAGTTAAAGACTATGTGCAACTAATATCACTTATTACAAGGCAATTTATTTTCCAGGCTGGTATCTAGCAAAGCAGATATCAGATATTACTACTCAACTTACTTAGCCTCTTAGCAGCCTCCAGGGCATCATTTGCAGAGTCAGCCACAAAGAATCTCTGAACTGTAACCCCATGGTCTGCCATCAGTTTTTTACTCTGGTATTCCTGCAGGTTCAGCCATCGTCTAGGGGTTAATTGAACAGCCTACAGAAATAACACAGAAAAATAACAAAATGCTCATTATTAACAGCTCATGCAACAGCCAACTGAACTATTAAGGCCTCCTGGTCACCTCAAACTAACAATAAATAAAATTATTGAGGACAAAAGGAAGAATGCACATCATTTTAAGGAAATGTCATATGAACATGTGGCAAAAATATTCTGAAACCTATCAAAGACATAAAGATGCTACACAAGGCTCACAGAGTGATCTTGGCTTGATGTGTCCATCTCATTTAAATTAACACAGGCTTGCAAGTTTGTATGGTTTGATTTATATAGCGTATTTATGTTATGCATTTCTGTGTTACAAAAATACAAAACTGTTTCATTAATAAAAACTTTCTTTGCTTTAGTTTAAATCAATAACATTACAAATATTAAATAATTGTCTTGCATTCAATAGGTTGCTAAGACATTATATACACACATTTCTGTACATCTGAGCAGGGGAAATAATTTCATTTCAATTCATGTCATTTTAAGAAATACAAATATTTTGGAAGGTTTTGGCACCTATTCATGACTGGCACTGTTTTAGTGATCTTTTGTTAAAGAACTAGCACATAACCAGTGTGGCCAGATTGAGTTCAAGAGTAGCAGCAGAAGAAACACCTTCTATATGCAAGGTTTACAAATTATTCATATTTATACACACATGTATAGTTATGTGTGTGTTACATACACTATGGGTGGAGGAGCTAACAAAACACATGAGAACAAGGAAGTGTCAAGTCCTGCCTCTCAGGGAGGCAGAGGTGCACCACAGAACAGTGCAGAAAAGGGTATTTTAGAGTTGTGAACACAAAGGATTAGGCCTGATGTCTTCTACTTGACTTTTACTAAATATTCTGAATAATCCACTTTAGCCTCCTCATCTAACATGAACAGCTTTGATGAACAAAGTTAGGAACATGGTGCAATATTTTTATGTCAGTCACATCAGGTAGCTGCCAGCCTGGCTCCACTTTACATTATCCAAATTTAATTGGATTTTGTTTTTAGGTTAAGTGAATTTAGTGGTGGTGAAAGGTGCCAGAATGACAGCCTTGGAGACTCAAGTCCTATTTATCCACATAACTAGTATGCACAGACAAAATGCAAGTCTCTCTCTCTCAGTCTCTCTCTCTCTCCCCACTTAGAAACACCATGGCTCTATGTCCACTGTTAACAATACCAGCCATTTAGTGTCAGAAAGAACACTTGGTCCTAGCAGAAACAAATAAATTACAACTTAGTAATAAAATCTGCTTAGAAAAAACATATAAATAGCATTGCCATCAAAGGTGAGACACCCACTGGACATTTTTCCTCTCAAACTTACACTTATTAGAATCCTTACTATAGATCCGAATTTCCATGCTTTTCTATATTTTACACTTTCATTACTAGTATGATCTAGAGCAGTGGTTCTCAAAGTGGGCCACGAGCTTAAAGCTGCTAATAGGACGCTCTCGTTTGTTTATCTTAAGGTTCCATAGCCACAGAGCCTCGCGGCTGCCCTTGGCACCAATTCACTGTTTATAGCCAAGGGGAGCTGCAGCAGCGGCTGGCCCAAATCGCTGCTTCCCATGGCTCCCCTTGGCTGTAAACAGCGAACTGGAGCCAAGATGAGCCATGAGACTCTCTGGCTATGGAACCTTTAGATAAGCAAACCAGAGTGGCCTATTAGCAGCTCTCTCAAAGAGGACCCATGACCCATTTTAAGAAACACTGATCTAAAGTCAAAGATGAATTTAACGTAAGTCAAGGTCCTGCTTAACTACAAGTATGTCAGTCAACCACTGATATTAAACACATGCGTAAGTGTTCGCAGAACTGAGGTGTTCTATGTTCCCAGATCAGAGTGTTATAACTCCCAGTGAATCTGGAACAACCCTAATTGCCAACACAATTTCTTGAAAATATTCACGTAAGTTACAATTTACAGGAGATGGGGAAGAGACCTCTGAAAGCATAATAAAAACCTGGATTTGAAATGTTCCAGGACAAATCAGCTCATGCTCCCCTCGCACACTTAACCAAGGACGGCCATATTTTTAGAAATATCTGCAGGCTGACTAAGATTAATTCTTGAGACCCGCATTAAAATGGTCAAACAGAAAAGGGAAGAGTTCAGTGTAAAGGGACATCAGCGTGAATGACAATAGTGCTACCTAGCCATGGTTTAATTACAATCTATGTCATGCAGAAGACACTCTTCTCCTTAAAGAGAAATAAACTGCTGCCCCAGTGGCAGATAAACCACCATAATTTCTCAGCTGCTCATAAAATAAAAAACACTGAATGCATGCTGACATTTCCCAGCTGGACATAAGAGACAGAAAGCATTATTTATTATATTAATACTTTGGTCGCTAGCAACATGACATACAACATCCATTATCCTTACATAGTTTTATACTAAAACCAAAAAATTTTAGTGTGTCTGCCTTTCAACAATATGTGGCTTTTATGTAATACTGGCATTTTAGATATCACATTATATAAAATACAAACATCCATCTGTTACCACTTCCCTTGAAATATAGAACACAAAACACTGATATTAAAAGACACAAAAATGACATGTACTTTTATACAGGAAATGTGAGGTTTTGTATATTACAAAGTGATTCCCATAGAACTTAAATAATTACAAATGCCTCAGAACTCACATGTTTAAAAATAATGGGTAAAGTATTTTAAAAGAAAAATACTTATAGTGAATAGCTACAGTAAGCTGCCTCTACATTTTAGGTAATAATTCCACCATGCAAGTGTCTCAATTTGCTATTTCTCCATGATCTTCAGAGTCAGTACACATTCTTTTCAGTTTATACAACACATCCAAATTTCAAGGCACAGCTACTTTCATTCTAGCATTTCCTGCATCATAATAGTTTCCCTTTCATATTTTCTTCACAGACATATCCTCAAATGGGTGAACTCTCACACAGAGCCAAAGTTTATTTTTAAGATTGGAAGGAGCATGTTTGTCTAGTCTGACCTCCTGCAAGGTATTCCATAGCATCCTACCCAATAATTCCTGCATCATGCCCATTATTTCCATTTGAATTATAGCATATCTTTTAGAAAAGAGTGGAGAAGCTTTCTTAGATATATCCAGCACACTAAAAAGGACCCATTTCTTTTCCTTTCTGTTTGTGTTCAAGCACCGTTATAACATTAAAACCCCAGAGGCTTAATTTTATACTCTTCATTTGGATTCTTTTGACTTCAAAATATTCTCATGATGCAGTCATTCTACAAAATTTTAATGCAAATTGCTAGAAATGAATTGCCAGCCCCCAGTATACAGTTCAATTTCGTATTATGTGTAAATATACATATTCGATACATACATACAAACATGCAGATTCAAGTGAAGGGTTTCAGAGTGAAATGCATTTCCCCGGAATTTAAATGTGATGAAATAGGGGTATACTTTATATCACCAGATGAGAGAACTACTGTCCACTAGATGTCAGATTTCCAATTTAAGGAGAAACAGCTGCTTTTATTAGATATAAAAAATTGGCTGATCTGAAGGTTGGCAAATATAGACACAAAACTATTGTAGCTCAATATTGTAGAGGCCAGTCATCACCAGGTGTGCGCTCAGGAAGGGCTTGCACTGTGCTGCATGTTTGCACTAAGGACCAAATATGAATTGTGTAATTTTGTTTCTATTCACTCCTGATCATTCCTTCCCCCACATCTCCACTGTAAACTTTCCCAAGCATTATTTGCTTTCTGCTTCCAACTAAGGTATTTATCTCATGAGCTCTCATTTGTGCTGTCAGCTGCCAGCCATCCCCTCACACACCCTACTCGAGCAGAAGCCAAAGTAAGGGCAGTGAGAACGGAGTCTCTGAAATGATTAGACCCATTAGAGATGACCCTGCAGTTACAGATCCTCTGCCTTGCCAGATGCAGTTTGAGATAGCTGGTTTTGTCTGGAGGAAGGAGAATGAGAAGTGGATTTGCAACCAGCATGTAGCATCAGCCTATATCAGCGATGGGCAACCAAGACTAGTGAGTGGGCCGCATGAGTGGACCTCTTTTGTCTCAGTGGGCTGCATGATTGAAATCCAGTGGTGGGCAACCTGCAGGCTGTATGCGGCCCACTGGGGTTACACCTGAAGTCTGCGCACTCCCGCTCTGCTCCCCTCTCTCACTCCTCTTGTGCACTGGGGCACTAGAGACCCATACCTCTTACTAGAATTAATGAATAATAGAATAGAATGAATGAAATAGAATTAATGAAAGCCTAATAGAATGAATGAAAGCCTCCCTACTAGAATTAATGAAGAATAGAATAGAATAGAATAGAATAGAATAGAATAGAATAGAATAGAATAGAATAGAATAGAATAGAATAGAATAGAATAGAATAGAATAGAATAGAATAGAATAGAATAGAATAGAATAGAATAGAATAGAATAGAATAGAATAGAATAGAATAGAATAGAATAGAATAGAATAGAATAGAATAGAATAGAATAGAATAGAATAGAATAGAATAGAATAGAATAGAATAGAATAGAATAGAATAGAATAGAATAGAATAGAATAGAATAGAATAGAATAGAATAGAATAGAATAGAATAGAATAGAATAGAATAGAATAGAATAGAATAGAATAGAATAGAATAGAATAGAATAGAATAGAATAGAATAGAATAGAATAGAATAGAATAGAATAGAATAGAATAGAATAGAATAGAATAGAATAGAATAGAATAGAATAGAATAGAATAGAATAGAATAGAATAGAATAGAATAGAATAGAATAGAATAGAATAGAATAGAATAGAATAGAATAGAATAGAATAGAATAGAATAGAATAGAATAGAATAGAATAGAATAGAATAGAATAGAATAGAATAGAATAGAATAGAATAGAATAGAATAGAATAGAATAGAATAGAATAGAATAGAATAGAATAGAATAGAATAGAATAGAATAGAATAGAATAGAATAGAATAGAATAGAAT